TGAAGTGTAAATTTGATATTTAAAAATTAAGTTTGGTAAATATGATATTTTGATGTTTAAAAATGGTATATATGAAATTATCACTTTAGTTTATTATGCTTAGTTTATGTAATTCTCTTTTGTTCTTTGGACTCTTTGTATCAGTCCAACTCCCTGTTAATATTTGTTACAAAATTTATGTTAAAAATATATTAAATCATGTAGTTGGCTTTATATTAAAAAGTTTGCATTAATTATGGTAATATCGTTTTACAATCATATATTACTAACTTAATAAAGATTGTAATTTTTTAAATTCATTTATTTTGAAATGTATTTTTTTAAAGCTTTCTGACAGATGTAAATAAATTTAAAATCATAATGGATATTAATTAAAAAATGATTAAACTATTTAAGATTCAAATCAAAATGGACCATTAGATAAAATCAAGGGTAAATTACACGGATTGTCTATATGGTAGGGTGTTTGGTTCCTAACAACTTCTTTTAATTTGGATCATCTATTCTAAAAAGACTGATTTAGTTCCGTTCTAAAAAGACCGATTCATCAAGACCAAGCGTGTAAGAAAAATATAAATATAAAGTAAGGACGATCCGAGTTAAAATAAATATAAAATAGAGATGGTCTGAATTAAACAAAAAATGTTATTAATCAAACATGCAGATTACCTTAAACTAGAAGGAGCATTATTGTAATTTACCCTAAAATCATTAATCCCTTTTTATAATATATTTGATGCAAATTCATTATTTATTGTGAAGTTAGATTTCATTAAAAAAAGATGCAAGGATGCTTAAAAGAGGCATAAAAGTTGTATGTTTTTTAGGTTTTTATAAAATTTCTATTTGTTTTTGTAACGTAGTTGAAAGATAAAAGTTACTTGATAGTTGGTTGTTGTTTCACATCCTATTAAGGTGAAAACAAAACTTTGAAAACCCATTAATTTTGAAATTGGTCTTGATAATGAAATATATTATTCAAAAAAAAAAATTAAAGTAAAAATGCAGCCACTAAAAACTAATTAAGGTAACAATTTCTTCATTTTTCGTTTAATCACAATTTTCTTAAGTTAACAATTATTTCTATAGCTTTTGTGTTAAAGACATTTAATCATTGTGGTAATGCGTTTTACCTAACTTCCTAACACATGCAATTTTTATGGTTATAAGAAAGGTAAGTACAATGTTATTATGAGTGGTATGTTGTTATTTGTAACAACGGAATTCAAAGCAATGAAACTCACTCATCTACGAGTACCATATTGTGAGAGGTTCTTCATCCGTTCGCTAAGAGCAGTCGAGTGATCATAGTTTGCATACATGAGTCCTTCAAATTGTTGTGTCAGCTGTTGTAATTTCTTGGAAAATGCGCGATTGTGTATACTCGATATTGTGTTAAGTTCTTCATTGCAGGTAGTGCCTGGCTGTTGTGCACGAACATAAGGCAAGAAACCTAATGGTGGGGTGGAAACAATACCAATCTTCCTCCCACCTTTTTCATAGATTCCCTTTTTATGTTAAGAAAAATGAGGTGTTTAAATATTAAGATAATTAATTAATTAAAAACGTAATTCCTGCTTAATTACCTTGAACACATCGGTCAAGTTTCCAATCACCATTCCCACATACTCCTCGTAATGAAGATTACTCAGGTTGTTGGCGGTGAGGTCTATATAGTCGTTGCATCCGCAGCTAAACAAGTAGACAACATTGGATAACAGTCGCTCAACTTTCACATCACCTAAATCTTTCCTATAACGTTTTTGTAAATTGGATAAATACTGTAGCTGTGTTTTGAGATCAAGTACCTACATTCAATTTGTTAAATGTTATTTTATAGTTATTTTGAATTATTATTTTTTAACATGTCATTTTATGAGTTTTTCTATTTTATTAAAATAGACATAATATTTTAATATAATAATTACAATAAATGTAGTAATAAATGAATATCAATTTCATTAATAAACTTACCTTTTAATTTCAAAATTCCTAAAATTAAAACTTATTAGTTTCTTTTATTTATTATTATTATTTTTTTTAATTTAAAAGATAAAAAAATATTTTCATTATAATAATTCATTATTTTTCTTATTTTCTTATAAATTCAAAATTCTTAAATATTTTAACATTTATATTTAGTTTTTTTTTAAGTTAACCCATATAATAGATGGCTCTTACGCCTAGTAAAATATATGAGAAAACTTAGATATGAAGATGGAATACATACCAATAATTTCGTATTGGTTTCAACTAAAGGACCACCTCCCTTGAAGCAAAGTTTGCTCCATATAGAAATTCATTATAATGGGTGTCGAGATACGCGGGAATGAGAGGCAATCCAGCATATTCAGCTGTCAACAAAAACAAAATCAAGAATAATAAGAAAGAAATTGAAAGAAAAAAAAAAGGATTGTCGATTGTTTGAGATGTTGTCACCGATGAAATCAGTGATGAGACGACCATTAGAGAATCTTCCACTTGGCGGATTGAAGTATGATTCTCCGTATGGCCAAAAATTCGCTTGGAAGCTCGGATCAGTGTTTATGTAGTTATTATTTCGAGGATCAAAAAGTGAATCTCCAAAAATAAAGAGCCCAACATGTTTGTTGAAATGCCCTTGAGAATTCTGGCAACCTGTAAAGAGGAGGAACAAACACAAAACAACAAGTCGGAATCCCAAATCGCTTTTAGCAACTGCCATATGTCTAAAGTTGATCATCTTCAACCTTCACTTCAAGACTTTGAGTAGTTAAATGTAGAGTAAAGAGCAAATTTGGTCTAGTTTGTTGTTTCCGTTGACTTTCATTTAAAGAGGAACATTTTTTAGTCCTTATCTCAACGTCGTTGTTATACAATTTTATATGAATTTAACCATTTAAGTATAATATACTTACCAAACTATTAGAAAACAAAGTAGGATCTTTATTTGGATAAAATATAGTTTGAATGAATTTAAAATGTTTATTACAATAAAAACGTCTTAATGTCTGTTATAACGAAAACAGAGTTTTTTCAACATTTTTGTGAAGTTCTAAAATGAAACATAGATCCATTGATGTTCAAAACATGTTCCATGCAACATCACAAACATGTTTTAAGAGTTAGGTTACAAACTATTGCAAAGGTAGGGCATGTTTGTCAGTATAATATATAAATAAGCATGTTATTAATTTTCTGTGAAATTTATGAAGATTATGATATGTAGTTTTTTCAAACACGTTAAATCGATACAATAAACATATTTTGTCGGTTGAAATCGAGTCTAAGGTGAATTTGGATAGTATGGCCATTACTATAAGGTGAATATTTTTCCATGAAAAATTCATACCGGAAAAGATAAGTTGGAGAACACGACGAATGATCATTTGGGAAAAACTTAATTTAACAATGATTTTAACAAACAAACAACATAAACCAATCTGTCAAAAATCAATTGAAAATTACTGACAAAATTCCTAAGAAAATTAAGGAAAATGCTTCTTTTCATTAAAATACTAATTATCTATCCGAAATAGCGACAAAATACCAACCAAAATCATTTTTTAAAGAGAAATAAAAAACTCTCCTACATTTTATTTCTACTATCTTTCTACCCACATTAAATGTTATCATGTGGATTAAAATATTATCAATTTTATCAAGGTTTGATATGGTAGAAGGATAAACAAGAATAAAATGTAAGAGGATATATATATATATATATATATATATATATATATATATATATATATATATATATATATATATATATATATATATATATAAAACCTTACTTTCTTTGAAATCTATATGCATTTTCTAATTCTGGTGGAAGGCCCATTCGACATACATGACTACAAGCATAGACGTTTATTATTATTATTTTAGAGCAAATTATACTAATTGTTCTTGTGGTTTTGGGTTGATTTACATGTTTGATACTTAATTATTTTATTTTATTTTTTATTTTTTTTAACTTGGACTATCAGTTTTGTTTGGTATTTAATCTTTACCAGAAAAGTAATGATTGTTATACTTTATTAGCATTTTACTTTGTGTATGTATGTACTTGACTGTATGTGTGTATGTGTGTTTAGAAAGGGAAATATGGGTATTATGAAATTGTAGAAGATTATCAAGACCATTTCTATTAAGGTTTTAAACAGTTTATGTAAAAGTTAAAAAGTATATTGCTATTATTTATTTAAGTGAAATTAGGTTGCTACTAAAGTACTTACTATTCAGTAATGCGATTAATGCAATAAATAGGATGCTACACACTTTTATCATCATTCTAATTTTATTATAATCTAATTTGACAAACTTATTTATGTTTTATAAGTACAAAATCAATGGTTTCCCAAAACATTACTTTGATACAGGACTTCGGTAATTTGAAAAATGATTACACACTAAAGGTTGGTATACTACATTTATGGAAACCAACATCGGATTCAACCCCAAACATTCCTAAATCAATCAAAGTGATACTAATTGATGAGAAGGTATTTTCCATTTTTATAACATTTATTTACTTTATTGTAATTTTTTTATTTCTACGTTGATACTTTTTATACAAAACATACATTATTTATGTGAATATAGTACAAAAGTTCAAGCTAGCGTGTATCCAAGGGATTTCACAAGAGTGCAATTCAAACTTGTGGAAGATTATGCTATTTTGATAAAAATCCCCCACAATTGCCCCTAATAGAGCACCTTTTAAAATTAGTGATGTAAAATACAAAATAAACTTCTATAGCAACACATTTGTTGCTGGATGTTTGGACCTTCCTGAAGTTTTTTACGATTTTTTTTTTCTTACGAGACGTTCATTTCTGCAACAAGTCCATCTAATAATTCAATTGGTAACTTTTTTGCCTTATTCCGAACAAATAATATAAATACATCACATTTTCATATTATACTATATATGAGTTTATATCATGTGGACATATTCTTTCATATGCTTGTAGATGTTATTGGTGAAGTTGAACTGGAAGATAAACTGCTAGAGACTAGAAAAAACACGTTAGCACAGAAACTTGTCTTCAAGCTTGGGATGAACTAGTCCATGAATCTAGCAGCTAAGTTGGTATGTTGGACAATATCATTATGCATGCCTTGAAACAGGCTTTTTAAGTTGTAGGGTGATGCGACTTTGGAATCTCCTTCCCAATACAGCTTTGCGAATTGCAGGTTCGCTGCTTCAGTAGGATGAAAGGGATCGAACAATAAATAATCGTAAGGATTATCACACAATTCAAACTCTCGTGGTTCTCTCTTCCCTCCACAACTATTAATCGCTCGAAAAGGTCCAATACCACAACATGCACTGTTTCCTACCTTTAAACCTGCAAATCCATTCAAAGCCAAACAATAAATAATGATAGTTCGGTAATTTAATTAACGCGATGAAAAACAGGAGTACAACCATATTTTGATGGGTTTTTCATTCTATTCGTAATCTCAGTTTGGAGCTCGAACGTTGAATACATGAATCCTTCCCATTGTTGAGTCAGATCTTGCAGTTTCTTGGAAAGTGCGTTGTCGTGTAGACTTGATATGATGTTAAGTTTTTCATCGCAGGAATTGCCTGGTCGTGTTGCACGAATGGGTAGTAAACAGCCTAATGGTGTGAGCATATTGATTCCAATTTTCCTTCCTCCTTTTTCATGGATTGCCTTTTGAATTAAAACAAAAATAATTGAAAATATATATTGATGGAGGTAATTGGAAACATTATATATTTGTGTTAATTACCTTAAACACTTGCGTCAAGTTTCCGATCACCATTCCCACATACTCCTCCTGATATAAATTACTTTGATAGTCGTTGCTTCCACAACTGAACAAGTAAACGGCATCGGATAATAGCTGCTCGGCTTTCACATCACCTAAATTCTTCCTATACTGTTTCACTAAATCAGTGAAATATTGTAGCTGTGTCTTGAGTGTTATCTACATTTATTAATTTATATATGAAATCAATAGATGAGGAGAGATTCAATGGTAGAAACGAACAAAAGTATATCCACATACACTTGAAGGTAGTGTTTCATTTAATACGCCAGCTCCTGCGGATGCAAAGTTTGCTCCATACAGAAATTCATTATTATGGGGATCCAGATATGCAGGAATGAGAGGTAGTCCAGCAAACTCAGCTGTTAAGAGAAGGGAATTAATATAGGAATTTAAAAAGGAGAGTGATAGTTTGGTGGTGGTTTGAGATAGATATTGTCACCGATGAAATCTGGAATGATACGACCATCGGAGAATCTCCCACTTGGAGGATTGAAGTAGGATTCGCCATAGGGCCAAAAATTCGCTTGGAGATCAGTTGTAGTGTTTATGTAGTTGTTGTTTCCAGGATCAAAAAGTGAATCACCGAAAATGAAGAGGGCGACATGTTTGTTGACATGCCCCTGAGAACTCTCGCTACCTGTAAGGATCAACAGAGAAGAAACAACAAGAACTGAGATACTCAAATGGGTTTTTGCAAGAGCCATACGTATAAAGTTGATCTTATTGCCTTCCAGTTAAAGCATATTTAATTTAATAATGCATGAAAATTGGTGCATTTTATAAAAAGCTTTGCAAGAATTGTGTGTTTTGTAAAAATGGGGATTTGGATCCATACAGAAAATATGATTAATACGAAATTCATTTTACAACTTTAACCCTCTTATATCATATTATATTCAACACTTTATAGTTATAACTTATAATATCTAGTTTTTTTATTTACAATTTTAGTTCTGTGATACTTGTTTATTTTTTCTCAAGTTAACCGGTATATAGGCGTGAGCATTATAATCGGATATCCGGTTTTGGAACCGAATCGTCTTAGAACTGCCGGTTCCCGAACTAAAAGGTTCTTAAAGTTTAGGAACCGCCTTAAGCGGTTCCGGTTCCGGTTCTTATTTATATATATATATATATATATATATATATATATATATATATATATATATATATATATATATATATATATATATATATATATATATATATATACATTTCTAGTGTCTTACAGTAATGCCTATTGATAATCAACATTATAGGTAGAACACGACATACCATATATATATATATATATATATATATATATATATATATATATATATATATATATATATATATATATATATATATATATATATATATAATGTTATGTTCTACCTTTAATGGTGATTACTAATAAACATTATTGTAAGTTACTAGAATGTAAGGTATTAGAAAAGTAATTTTTTAAATTTTAATATATAAAATTAAAAACTTAGTTAATAACTTTTGATATTCTACACTACTATGTTTTGTTCACAGAATTTTTTTAGATTTGATTTATGTTATTTATGTTGTTTAGATACATGACATTGAATTGAATAATAACATTTATACACTTATAAACTAAAAACAAAGGATATATACAATGAAAATATTTTTTTTTGCTTTTAAACATCATTTTATTATATATATATATATATATATATATATATATATATATATATATATATATATATATATATATATATATTATCTTATGTTCTACCTTTAATGGTGATTACTAATAAACATTACTGTAAGGTACTAGAAAAGTAATTTTTAAAATTTTAATATATAAAATTAAAAACTTAGTTAATAACTTTTAATATTCTACACGTCTATGTTTTGTTCACAATTAACGAATTTTTTTAGATTTGATTTATGTTAGTTATGTTGTTTAGGTACATGACATTGAATTGAATGATAATAGTTATACACTTATAAACTAAAAACCAACCATAATTTAGGATATATACAATGAAGATATTTTTTTTGCTTTTAAACATCATTTTATAATACTTATAATTTAAAAGGTAAGCCATGAAGTTATAACTTTTTCATAATATAATTTTTTATTTCTTAAAAATAAGATGCCGGGTACCTGAAATCGGAACCGGTTCCGACGGTTCTGGGAGCGTTTCCAGATCTTTATGAACTGATGCAACTGGTTCAGGTTCCAAAATTACAGGAACCGCCGGTTTCAGTTCCGGTTCCGATTCCTATAAAATTAGGTGGGTACCCACCTTTGCTCACATTTAGGTTTATAGATTATAAAATTTTCAGTATATTTGAAGCAATTATGACTGAAATACTTTGTAGCTAATCATATTGTTAAAATCAATGAATAACCTAATTCATGAACTTCTACAGTGAGTCTCCGATGCATAGGATAGGATAGGATAATTGTTTGAAGCAAGTCCTTAGTAAGTATATTTGTTATATAATTAAAAAAATAAAAGAACTTGTGTAATTTTTTAAGGATTTCATTTTATTTCAATAGGATAAATTACATAAATCGGTTCAGAGTTATAGTAACAGCCACCCGTGCTAGATTTTGTGACCACATGACCATCATTTTAGCATTAATAGAAATTGGTATGGTGACATTAGCAAAATCTTTTCTAACGCGATTGTTTAATCATTAGTTTAGTCTTTAGACAGTCGCTATCGGAATCATATCTTAAATTTAAACAACAAACACTTTGAAATAGAAATGTCAACCGGGGCAAACGGGACGAGGGTTGTAGCTCCAACCCCCACTCCTGAAATTCCCCTTTCCCCCGCCCTCAAATCTTCAACGTCTCTACCCCCCCCCCCCCCCCCCCCCCTTGAATTCCTGGATTACCCTCGTCCCTGATTGATTTTAGATTTTTTTTTGCTAAAATAAGTTATTTTTTTTTCGGGCAAATGAAACTATTTTTTAGGTAAAAAATAATTTTTTATAACATAATCTTACATGTTGAAAACAAAAATATTATAATATCTCAAAAACGTTATACTAACAACTTATAAATATAATAGTATAATTGAATTTTAGAAGATCAAATTATTGTTATATATATATATATATATATATATATATATATTATATAATATATATATATATATATATATATATATATATATATATATATATATATATATATAAACCGGACCACATTGGGGCTTGGGACGTGACTACTACCCCTGTCACGTCTCCAAAATTAAAACGGAGGTTAACCAAGCCTCTAATATTTTTAACAAATATCATTCATACAAAATCGGGATCCTACGTGTTGGAGTCGCATTGGACATTTTGACATCCTACCATGAAACAAGGATTTTAAATTGTAAGGTGATGTGACTTTGGAATCTCCATTCCAAAAAAGCTCTGCGAATTGGCGGCATGCGGCTTCACTAGGATGAGGGGCATCGAAGAAGACATAACCGTCAGGATTATCACACAATTCAAACTCTCCTAGTCCTCTTTTGCCTCCACAACTATAAATCCCTCGTAAAGGACCACTACCACAACACGAACTGTCTCCTACCTTAAAACCTGCACATCCATCAAATTCCAACCATGATTCATATGATACTTCATGAATTCAAAGCAATGAAACTCACTCAGCTACGAGTACCATATTTTGATGGGTTCTTCATTCGTTCGCTAAGAGCAGTCGAATGATCATAGTTTGCAAACATGAATCCTTCAAATTGTTGTGTCAACTCTTGTAATTTCTTGGAAAATGCGCGATTGTGTAGACTAGATATTGTGTTAAGTTCTTGGTTGCAGGTATTGCCTGGCTGTTGTGCACGAACATAAGGCAAGCAACCTAATTGTGGGATCGTACCAATACCGATCTTCCTCCCACCTTTTTCATAGATTCCCTTTTTAAGTTAAGGAAAAAAAATTGTTTAAATATTAAGGTAATTAATTTATTAGAAACGTAATTCCTGTTTAATTACCTTGAACACATTGGTCAAGTTTCCAATCACCGTTCCCACGTATTCCTCGTAATGAAGATTACTTAGGTTGTTGGAGGTGAGGACTAGATAGTCGTTGCATCCGCAGCTAAACAAGTAGACAGCATCGGACAACAGCTGCTCGGTTTTCACATCACCTAAATCTTTCCTATAACGTTTTTCTAAATCAGAGAAATATTGTAGTTGTGTTTTGAGATCAAGTACCTACATCCATTAACTTATATATGAAATCAATATATGAGAAAACACAATTATGGATATGAAGAAGGGATACATACGAAATTTTTCGTATTGGTTTCAACTAAGGCACCAGCGCCCCCTGAAGCAAAGTTTGCTCCATACAGAAATTCATTATAATGGGGGTCGAGATACGCAGGAATGAGAGGCAATCCAGCATATTCAGCTGTCAACAGAAACAAAATCAAGAATAATAGGAAAGATATTGAAAGAAAGAAAGAAAAAGATTGGCGGTTGTTTGAGATATTGTCACCGATGAAATCAGAGATGAGACGACCATTAGAGAATCTTCCACTTGGCGGATTGAAGTATGATTCTCCATATGGCCAAAAATTCGCTTGGAAGCCCGGATCAATGTTTATGTAGTTATTGTTTCCAGGATCGAAAAGTGAATCTCCAAAAATGAAGAGCGCAACATGTTTGTTGAAATGCCGTTGAGAACTCTCGCAACCTATTAAGAGTAGGAACAAACACAAAACAACAAGTCGGAATCCCAAATCGCTGTTAGCAACTGCCATATGTCTGAAGCTGATCATCTTCAACCTTCACTTTGAGTAGTTAAATTTAGAGTAAAGAGCAAAATTTGGTCTAGTTGTTGTCCTTGACTCTGATATAAAAAGGAACATTTTTAGTCCTTATCTCAATGTAGTTTGTCTACTACTTTATATGAATTTAACCATTTAAGTATAACAGACTTACCAAACTATTAGAAAAAAAAAGTAGGATCTTTAGATGGATTAAATATAGTTTGAATGAATTTTAAATGTTTATTACATTAAAACGTCTTAATGTCTGTTAAAACCAAAACATAGTTTTTTAAACATTTTTGTGAAGGTTCTAAAGTGAAACATGGATCCATTGATGTTCAAAACATGTTTCATGCAACATCACAAACATGTTTTTAAGAGTTAGGTTACAAACTATTGAAAAGGTAGGGCATGCATGTTTTTCAATATAATATATAAATAAGCATGTTATTAATTTTCTGTGAAATTCATCCAAATGTAGATACAAAAATTAAATACGCAAAGCTGAACTTGTAGCTAAAGACTAGAATAAACACGAGAGCACAAAATTAAACTTGTCTTTAAACCTTGCTCAACTAGTCCTCTATAAATATAAATACTTATCTATTGGGTGGTATGTTGAATGATATCAACATACGTAACTTGAAACAAGCTTTTTAAATTATAGGGTGATGTGACTTTGGAATCTCCCTCCCAAAACAGCTCTGCCAATTGAAGGTTCGCTGCTTCAGTAGGATGATAGGGATCGAACAATAAATAATCGTTAGGGTTATCACACAGTTCAAACTCTCGTGTTTCTCTCTTCCCTCCACAACTATTAATCGCTCGAAAAGGTCCAGTACCACAACATGCACTGTTTCCTACCTTTAAACCTGCAAATCCATTCAAATCCTAGCAATGAATTAAACGATGATAGTTCATGATCAATTTAATTAAAGCAATGAAACTCAGGAGTACTATAACCATATTTTGATGGGTTTTTCATCCGTTTGGTAATCTCAATCTGGAGCTCGAACTTTGAATACATGAATCCTTCCCATTGTTGCGTCAGATCTTGCAGTTTTTTGGAAAGTGCTTTATCGTGTAGACTTGATATGATGTTAAGTTCTTGATCGCATGTATTGTCTGGCCTTTCTGCACGAACTGGTAGCAAACAGCCTAAGGGTGTGAGCGTAGTGATTCCGATTTTCCTTCCTCCTTTTTCATGGATTACCTTTTTTAATTAAATCAAAAGATGATTGAGGTTATGTAGTTTGAATATATTGATCAATGTGATTGGAAAGTGTTAATTACCTTGAACACTTGAGTCAAGTTTCCGATCACCATTTCCACGTACTCGTCATAAAGAAGACTACTTTCGTTTCTTTCAAGGAGGAACTGATAATCGTTGCTTCCGCAACTGAACAAGAAGACAGCATCGGACAATAGCTGCTCGGCTTTCACATCACCTAATTTCTTCCTATAATATTTCACTAAATCGGTGAAATACTGTAGCTGTGTCGTGAGCTTGACTGCCTACATTCATTAATTCATGATATATGAAATCAATAGATGAGGAGGAGATTCAATGGTAGAAACGAAGAAGGTATTTACACATACAATTGTAGGTTGAGTTTCATCTAATACACCAGATCCCGCTGATGCAAAGTTTGCTCCATACAGAAATTCATTATTATTGGGGTCGAGATATGCTGGAATGAGAGGCAATCCAGCAAACTCAGCTGTTAATGGAAGGGAATTAAGTTAGGGATAAGAAAGCGATCGATTTATAATAGAGAGTGAGAGTTTGGTGGTTATTACCGATGAAATCAGGAATGATACGGCCATCGGAGAATCTTCCGGTTGGTGGATGGAAGTATGATTCGCCATAAGGCCAAAAATTCGCTTGGAGCTCAGTAGTAGTGTTTATGTAGTTGTTGTTTCCAGGATCGAAAAGTGAATCACCGAAAATGAAGAGTGCAACATGTTTGTTGAAATGCACCTGAGAACTCTCGCAACCGGTAAGGATCAACAGACAAGAAACAACAAGTGAGATAACCAAATGGCTTTTTGCAAGAGCCATGTATGTCTAAAGTTGGATCTTATAGCTTCGCATTGAGTATTTATATTGCCTTCCATTTAAAGCATATATTTAAATGGTGAAATAGTCAAATTATGGACTAGAATTTTTTTGAAAAATGGGTTGTTTCTAAAAAGCTTTGCAAGAATGTTTTTTTTTTTTTTTTTTTTTTTGTGTGTGTTTTATAAAAATGTGCTTTGGATCCACTTCGAAGATAGGATTAATACATATAATTTCTTTTACTATAATCTCTTTTACAATATTTAAATGTATACCTTCTCCATATTTATACATTTTTTCGATATTTAAATGTATACACTCTCCATATTTATACATATAATCTCTTTTACTAAAAATATATTTTTAAAGTTTATATATAACTTTTAATGATTTATATTGCTAAAAGTATCTTATTAATGCCTACAAATCAGTATCAATATTAAATATATTTAAAATTATATATATCAAATGAATGAATGTAGGATGATTATTAGAAATGTATAAATAATAAATTCATATATAACTAGTGCATGAGAATTGTTAAATCCAAAGATAACAATATGTAAAATCTACATAAACAATAATTGTGGAAGCCAAAATAAAAAATGTCATAGTTCATTTGATAACTCTTAAAATGTTTTAGAATGATGTTATATATATAGTTAAGAATGATGCATTATTTCGCTTCATGAAGGGTGACGAACCAACTTTTATTGTTTTATATATTTTTAGGCATAAAATATGATATGCACAATTTAAAATTTTGGTTTATGCACATGTTGGATTTTAACATATGAACAAATCGATATTGCACACCTCACAAGTGACTTGTCCTTAGATATGATGAATTATCTAGCCGAGAATCGAATTTGTGTTGAAATTGAAAGAACAATATTGCATCCTATAAATACTAGCTCTGTAGATCATGTTTGTAATTTTGAAGTACCAATTCCTTTGCCTAATGATGATAGAGAGTAGGTAGATAATAACTTTGATTTTGATGAGCCTAACTCTCAGTGGAATAGCCGGTAAATAAGAAAGATTGGGGGTGTCGCCATTGATGCAAGTGACATCCTAGTTAAGAACTTTATAAATGATGTTGGAAATATAGGAGTTGATTGCATCCAATACTTTGAGGAAAACATTCATATAGATCTTTGGAAGGAACACTACTAGAAAAAAAGGTGTTTTCCTACGGATAATAGCTACGGAAAATTTCCGTAGCTAATTAGCTACGAAATGGCTACGGATTAGCTAAAGAATGAGACGCCCTAATTTAGTAACGGAATAGCTACGGAATCGCTACGGAATAACTTCGGATACAATTTCGTAGGTATTCCGTAGCTAATTAGCTATGGGATAGTTACGACATCACTACGAATGCTACTCCGTAGCCATTCTGTAGCTAATTAGCTTCGGAATAGCTACGGAATAGTTACGGATGTTAACCCGTAGCTATTCCGTAGTTAATTAGCTACAAAATGGCTACGGAATAGCTACGGATATAATATTAAACCATTAAATGAATAAAGGATCTCGAAGGTGCAAACGACTGTATCAATACTATTAATGACTATAAGTTGTTGAAAATAAAGATAATCGTGTATAATAGAGGTGATGAAAAAAATGAAGAGAAAAAAATGAAGAGAAAAAAACGATGTTTAATGCCCGGAAAATCAAAAATAATAAAATCCGTAGCAACTCCGTAGCTAATTAGCTACGGATTAGCTACAGAATTTTTTTATTTTCTATTTTTCGCGCACAAACATTGTTTTTTTCGCTTCGCTTTTTTTACACCTCTACTATACATGATTATCTATACTTTCACCAACTTATAGATATTAATAACATTCATAAAGTTGTGTGGACCTTCGTGATCAAGTATTCGTTTCATAGTTTTAACAATGTAATTACTATACTTTTTACCAAATTGTGATGAATTTATTTTTGTATATGTATATTTACATACATGAAAGAGTTGTGGTATATGTGTACGTGTATGTGTGTTTTTATACGTGTTTGTGCGTATTTATATGTGAATGTAGATCATATGCGTGTTAAACCATTAAACGAGTAATGGATCTCGTATGTGCACACAACTTTATGAATAATATTAATAGCTATAAGTTGGTGAAAATAGGGATAATCATGTATAATAGAGGTGTGAAAAAAACGAAGCGGAAAAAATGACGTTTGGTGTCCGAAAAACTGAAAATAAGAATTATCCGTAGCTAATTCGCTACGGATTAGCTACAGATAATTCCTATTTTCAGTTTTTCGGGCACCAAACGTCGTTTTTTTCACACCTCTATTATACATGATTATATCTAGTTTCACCAACTTTTAGCTATTAATATCATTCATAAAATCTTGCGCACCTTCGGGATCAAGTACTCGTTTAATGGTTTAACAATATAATAACTATATTTTTCACCAACTTGTGATGGATTTATGTTTGTATACATGAATGAGTTGTGGTATATATGTATGTGTATATGTGTATGTATGCGTTTTTGTGAGTATTTATATGTGAATGTAGATGATAAGCATTAGAGTTTTAAACCATTAAACGTGTAATGGATCCCGTATGTGCACACGACTTTATGAATGACATTAATAGCTAAAAGTTTTTGAAAATAGAGATAATCATGTATAATAGAGGTGTGAAAAAAACGAAGCGGAAAAAACGACTTTTGGTGCCCGAAATATCGAAAATAAGAATTATCCGTAGCTAATCCGTAGCTAATTAGCTACGGAATTCTAACGGAAATAATAATAATAATAATAATAATAATAATAATAATAATAATAATAATAATAAGAAGAAGAAGAAGAAGATGTTTAAATAGAATAGTCAAGCATGTTGGTATGGATGCGGCATGCCTGGCCGGTTGGTAAGTTTGTGGTATTGTACGTAGGCAACCCGAGTTCGAATCCCACCCACGTTTTTTTTGCAGGCCGTAGCTAACGGTAGCTAATCCGTAGCAGATTCCGAAGCTGGGCCGTAGCAAATCGGTCGCTAAACGGGTCCATTTCTCACTGTTTACAACCTACCCCCTTGGTTGGCTTTTAAACATCAATACATACAACTTCCATTGATTATTCCTAGGAAGAAGAGTCCCGGACAGAATTTGGATGTTTTTTTACAACCTTTGGTGGACGAGTTGAAGATGTTGTTCACAGATGGCATTGAAACTTATGACGCTCATCGAAAGACCAATTTTCAGATGAAGGTTCTACTTCTATGGATAGTTAGTGACTTCCCTGCTTATGCAATGTTGTCCGGATGGAGCACTCATGGTAATTTAGCCTGTCCATATTGCATGCACCAAACAAAATCATTTCGACTTTCCAACGGACAAAAACCGTGTTGGTTTGACTGTCACAGAAAACATCTACCCGAAAGACACGTATTCCGAAATAATACAGTTAATTTCTTAAAAGGCAAGAAAGTGAAGGGTCATGAAGTGCCTGTTCCATATCCAACCGAAGAATATATTTGGGAGAAAATCCAACATTTTCCCACTGTATACAACGGTACTCCCTATGGTCCAAATTATATAAAACCAAAAGGTTTTGGTATTACACATAACTGGGTAAAGAAGAGCATCTTTTGGGAGCTTCCATATTTGCGTCACCTGTTGATCCGACACAACCTCGATTTGATTCATGTTGCGAAGAATTTTTTTGAAAATATGTTTCATATTTCGATGGGTACCCCAAAGTCCAAAGACAATATGAAGGCAAGAGAGGATATTGAGATGCTATGTGACCGACCTATACTAAACCCCATTAGGGACAACAATAGGAAGCCTAGGAAGAACCCTGGAAAGTACACATTGACAAAGGAACAAGTTAAAAAGTATGTGATTGGTTGAAAGAACTAAAATTTCCTGACGGATATGCATGAAATATAGGTAATTGTGTAAACACCAAAGATTACAGTTTTTGTGGTTTCAAAAGCCATGACTGTCATGTGTTTATGCAACGGTTGCTTCCCCTAGCTATAAGAGGTTTTGTTCCAAAAAAGATATATGAGGCCATATCAGAGATATCCATGTACTTTCGAGTATTGTGCTCGAAAACGTTGCATCTTCAGGACTTGTTCGATATGAAACGTTGTATTGTTCAGACCATGTGCAAGTTGGAGCAAATATACCCTCCTAGCTTCTTTGATTCCATGGAACACCTGGTCATACATTTAGCTGATGAAGCTATTGTTGGTGGTCCGGTACATTACAGATGGATGTACCAATACGAGAGGTAATATCCCTGTTTTAATACTATATATAGTATTTTTAAAGTTATTTCTGGTATTCCTAACACATCGTCCATACATTATAATATAGGAAACTAGGCATAATTAAAAGAAGAATCAGGAACAAAGCACGAGTTGAGGGTTCAATAGTCAATGAACATCTAGTGAATGAACTCGCTACCTATTGTTCGTTATATTTTGACCCGACGATTGAGACACGCCATAATCGAGAAGCGCGGAATTTTGCACCACAAAGTCACAGGTTTTCGAGTGGTGGAGCTCCACTTAGCATCTTTGTCGTCCCATCAAGAAGATTATATGAAAAAAGTGGAAAACGAAAACCCTTAAGTGATAAAGTCCTTCACAAGGCGCACACTTACATATTACTTAATTGTAAAGAAGTTAACCCTTACATCATCGAGTTTGATGAAATGGTCATAAGAACGAATCCAAATGAATCAGTTTCTGATTTAAGAGATAAATACTTTGCTGAATGGTTTGAGGACAGAGTAAGTAGAACCAGTTCAATCGTATTGATAATTATTAATGCATCGTTAACCAACACAATGTATGTATGTTTTCAATGTAGATAATGTATAAGACACCCGATGGAAGTGCAACACACTTAGAAGTTATAGCTACGAAACCATCGAGACATGCTTGTTTTCACAATGGGTATTTTGTAAATGGTTATAAGTTCCACACTCAACAATACGGTGAGGGTCGTGCGACAAAAAACTTTGGAGTATGTGTTAGAGGGGAGACGTATAATGCCGAACAAGAGTCAGACTACTACGGCATATTGCAAGAGATCTTAGAGATCGAGTATTATAGCAGCGGACCTTCGACTGTTGTACTGTTTAATTGTATTTGGTTTGATAACAAAGACGGTGTAATAGTTAACAAAAACAAGTTGGTCGATGTCAAACCCAAATCTCGACTTCAAACTGACGATCCTTTTTGTTTGGCATCACAAGCTGAACAAGTATTTTATACACCATACCCTTCAATGTCAAATGAGACGAAAGATAAGTGGGCGGTTATCAAAACAAAACCAAGAGGGGTATTTGAAGTCACCAAAGCTGAAATGGAAGCAGATGAAGTATTTCAGGTTGAAGAACGGTTTGAGTCACCCCTTACTGTAACTCGTGTGGAACCGCTATGCCTAGCCTCAACTATAAATACATATGAGCAAATATCTGATGAAGCAAATGAGAGAATTGAGGAGGAAGACGAAGAAGTGGAAGATTTTGAAGACGGAGGTGATGAAAATGATTTTTATTATTCAGAAGAAGAATTTGAAGACGAAGATGATGGGGACGAATGTTAGGAGCATTGTCTTTTGTTGATGTTAGGAGCATTGTATTTTGTTTATGTTAGGAGCATTGTCATTTTGAAGACTGTTGTACTGTTTAAACGTTGTTTTGTTAATGATTTTGATTTGGATATCCGGTTGTTTTAAACATTTGTTTTGTCATGACTTATCAATCTTATATTATATATCTGACCATTCTTGTTCTCTTAAATGCAGCATGTCAGGTAATCGACGCAAGGATAAAGGCCATAGTACCAACACTTCTTCTAGCAGTGTGGGGCATAGGAGGGGGGAGGGTTATCCCCTAATTCTACCGACGAGCCACGTTATAGGACATCACTCATACCAATTGATATGCCGATAGTGACAGGAGTCACAGGCTCCAACAGTCAGGGTGCCATCAATGAACAAACCGACATGGCTGATCCTTTAGCAGATTTGGCTGGGATTCTTCGCCATCAGGGTCGAGGGCTGGGTCATATGTCCCAACTCATACAGATAGATTATAGGCTCCAATCCCCACAAATGGGTTATACACCTTAGTTTCCAAATACAGGTGTTGAGTTTCCGACCCCACAAACGGTTTTGAGGCCGGGTGGTCGTGATGGATTTGAGGAGTACTATTTTGAGGGTGCAGATGCATAGACAACCTTTCGGTCGCCACAGACCCCGCACACGCCACGGCCACCGAACACGCCACCGACGCCGCATGGCTCCACCTCTAGAGGTGTTACAGGAGGCCACGACTCGAATGCGAGTGATTTTCAGGAGTCTTCGTTGCCCCTCATCAGCCGAAAAGGGAGAAAGTTAGTGTTTTCATATTTTAAAATTTTAATTTTTGATGTTATAATTCTACTTATATAGTTCTTTTCAATGTAGGTTTGGGTCTAGGAAAATCCATAGCACGTGTATTAGTCTCTATTGGGATAATATGGATCATCCGTGGCCCCGATTTAGTGATATTCCCAATGAGGCCCTTTTGCAGATGTTTTCGCGTTTCAAGGCAATATATTAAATATAAATTATTGTATCTTATACTCATTTGTTTTTACTTTGTATTTTTAGATTTACTTTTTATTTTTTTACAGACCATGTACAGGTGGAATTCACTAGAGAATAGTAACATATTTGATGCCTTCAAGTGTGTCCTCAAGGATAGATACAGGGATCGGATGAAGCATATCAGGATTAAATCTGGGGAAATGGCACGAAATGATGGGAAACCCGTCCCCTTAGGTCATTGTACCTACTACAAAGGGATGCATGACTACCTCCCTAGGCGCGTACCGAAGAATGTGTGGCGATGTTTGTGTGATGTAATGGATATGATACTTTATTATCTATTTTGTTGAATTTTAATCTCCTATTGTATTAGTATCCTTATATATATTTTTTCTTTTCACAGAATTGGTCGACAGATAAGTGGAGAAAGAATTCAAAAATTGCTCAGCAGAACCGCAAAGTCGCAGATGCTAATGGGTCGACAGCTAGGCACACCGCGGGTAGTATAGGATTTGACGAGCACCGTAACAACTTAGTAAGTATCATAATTATAAATTTTATTATCTTATTTTTTTAACAATAACTACATCAACTATACTTTGTATTTTTATGTAGGAAAAGATGATGGGTAAACCACCGACACAATTTGATGTTTTCATCAAGACGTATGGCACAGCTGAGGCGAAAAAAAGATATTTTGCGGGAGATCATGAAAATCTCGAATATTGCTCACTAACTGCCAAAGAAGCACAAGTAACTTATCTTTTATCATTTATATATATATATATATATATATATATATATATATATATATATATTGATTGTCTTAGTATTTTTGTACATGACAATGATACTTTTTTGGTAATTTGTAGGAGATGTATCTATAGGAGATGGCCCAAAAACACAGAGAAGACTCTTCAAACCATAAAGATGATGCGAGGGTATGGGAGGAAATTCAACTTAGGAGAAAAGGAAAGAAGAAGGGTGATATCTATGGCATAGGAGCATCAGATATACATTTTGTGAAACTGGGACACCGTCTTCCCAATCCACCCAATCGGATAGTACACAACAAGAGGTATGTTGTTATGGTTTAAACGTTAATTAGTATGTTGATAATATTGATATAATAAACTAAAGTACATTGCTAATATTGTTTAACTATTGCATTGTGTTGCCATTTTTTTAGGTTGATAGGTTGCGTGCACAAGTTTCTACCATGGAACAACAGCAACAACAAATGGAAATGGTTATGAGGATGATGAATATGTCTGGAAATCAACCCCGTGCTCCCCTTGATAATCCACCTGAGGACAATTGATAAGTATTTTGGAACAATTTAGTTTGTAAACATTTCATATTGTTTGTTTTGTTAAGTAGTGCTTACTTTTGTAAGATATTTTGGATAATGGATTGGAATGTGTCAAACTTGGTATGACGGACGTTTTTTGGTGTATTTTATATGGTATTTGGGACAAATGTGAATTGAATGTGGTATTTGACAAAAAATTGGAAAATTTTAAATTAATTTTTTTTAAATAAAATGAAGTTAGCTACGGAATTGCTACGGATTTCCGTAGCTATTTACTTTCATAGCGATTCCGTAGCTGTTTTGTTCCGTAGCTATTCTGTAGCTATTTTGTTCCGTAGCTATTCCGTAGCTATTTGTAGACGTAGCTATTCCGTAGCTATTTTCTTCCGTAGCTATATAGTGCCGTAACTATTCCGTAGGAAATCCGTAGCTATAATTTAGCCACGGGCCATTATACTACAGCCAATTTTCCGTAGCAATTACGTAGCTATCCGCTTATAGCTATGGAATAGCTACGGATTGTGCCGTAGCTATTGCACCAATTTTCTAGTAGTGGAATTAGAAAATAAAAATCGACTAGCAATGTCATTTGAATGTAAGTTACATGTGAAAAGGAAGTAACACTTTGGCCCATTGCCTAAAATAAAGAGTTTAATGTTTAGGAAAGATGAATAGCAAATGGGTAGAAAAATGTACGACTACAGGAGATGAAGGAAAAAACTCTAATTCTATGCACCATGCACAATCTTGTCAATAGTATATTCATGTAATTAAGAAGAAAGGTCATCGCAGGTGGCATATTACATGTTGGGTAGATGTACATAACTATTTTGGATCTTCCATTGACACTACTAACGTAAATTTGAAATTTACAACAAGCACCTCATACATCCTTCAGTAAATTGGAAAATTTGTTGCTTATTCAATGAAACATATACAAGTAAATATTAAAAATAGTCTGAATGTTGATGTTTCTTATTAGAATGTGTGGCATGGTATCTGAAAATAAATAAAGTCTATTTATAGCACTTGGGAGAGTAACTTTTTTCATGTCACACCCTAAAACCAAGAATGGTGGAATACGTTCTGGGGTGGAGGACGTCATGCACAGTATCGTAACAATTGCATAATAGTAAAAACAAGCGACAACAACCATTGCATTAATATAGTGATTTTAAATACAAACGTGTTCTGTACAGTTAAAAGACACCAAAAGTATAACAAAAATAAAAGATGGGTCTTGTATATGCTCCATCTTCTCAAAAGCTGCACCAGTACCTGTCTATCTTTGACCTAAGGATACAAGTTATTTTGAAAACGAGTATTAGCATAAAGCTAGTGAGTTCATAAGATTTTAGTGTCATTTCTTGTATAAAAGTGTTTACAATCATGTAATATAAAAGCTGTAATAAATGGTGAGAGTAGTAGAAATCCCTAGAAAATCCTATTTTTCCAGGATGATATAGTTGTAAGATAAATCCTTTGAGTGTGTAAAAGTAATTTCATTGAAACTTTCGGTGTTAAAAATAAGGTAATAAATTTCATACAAGTAACGTAGATGCGTAAAAGTATCGGTGGTTGACTGTAGTAGTGTTGCAACTTCAATATATATGTATTTATTTACTTCGGGAAATTTGCTTAGACTTTAATTCTTAGTGTGTTAATTTGGGTATGGATGTGAATTCTCATGTAACCAAACTGAGTGACTATAGAGGTTCCAATAACCTTCCCAGTTATCCGTAGTGTAGTGATGTAGTGCCATCCCTGGGCCTAGTCGGCTCGGACTGTAATTAACAGTTGGGATGTAATAGCGTCCGTCCTATATAGATCTATACATGTAGTGCTGCTTTCCTTTTGGAAAGCCCTGGTTACATGGTATTTACGTAGTAGAGTGTCGTATAGAGGGATAATGTGTTGTATTCTGGATTAGTGTACTCTCTTGTATTATAATATAGTAACTTTTAGTATAATGTAGAGAGTGTTCTCTCAAACATGTCTTAACTCGTGATAGTAGTAATTATAGCGGGTATCATAGTGATAAAGGTAACAAGAAGTAGTATTAACTATACCTATTATAGTTATATAGAGCGTAGAGTCGCATGCCTTTGATTTACAAAGGTATTATATAAGATGAAGACTTTCATATCTAACACAATATATATGATATAGATAACTAAGAAATCAACGACAGTCGGACGTATAACAATATACCCTAAGACCACAATCAAACAAGAACAGGAAATAAGGTGAGCTATCGGTCCTAAGTCCTTGAAGTCTTATTTATATAAATATATTGATGTCAATATGGTTTAAAAGAAAAGTAGTTTAAATACAATTTGAAAATAGTTTAACAACAATTTAGTTTAGGAAATGCGTTTGACAAATATTTAAAACAATTTTATTGACAAATATTTAAAAGTATAGAAATCGTTTTTGGTTGTAAGTTATAAATCACATATGGTTCGAAACTAGAACTTGTTGCATTTACTTGTATCCCCCCCCCCTAAAACATGTAAAAATGTTTAAAAAGGTTAATTAAGGGGGATGAACTCACCTGAAGCGAGTAGATCGGGTGCAAGTGTCGGTTGAGCGTTTGGTGCCAAGTAAAGACTTATACACACTTTATGACCCTAGTAACGTATGAAGACATATGTTTACAAGTAATTAGTGATTTAGACACTAATTAAACACACATAGACATCCTAATGTGAATAAAAGCTCTATGGTTAAGTGCTAGAATGCTATTGGGTTGCAAGGGAGGAGTTTTAGGCCTCATATGGAGTTTACTCCTCACAAACTCACCTTGGGTGAGTTTACGGCTGAGGGACCACCTCCCCAATGATTTTACGGTCGTAAACTCATGGGAGGAATGTTTTTGTGTGTTTTCAAGTCTCTTGTGTCTCTAGAAAGGGTTCTAGGGTCAAATCCAAGGCTTGAGGGGTGTTTAGGGTTCAAATGGGGCACTCCCTTGGAGTTTGCGGCCCTTGGACCATTCCTTGGGAGTTTACGGTCGTAAACACTAGGGTTTAAGGCCGTAAACCGTTTAGCACATCATTCACTTCGTGTTTTGTGGTCCTAAGCTCAAACATACAAGTCTCTAGCCCAAAAATCATGTTAAGGAAGGAGTTAGGGGCACCAAAACACCATTTAAGGTGTTTACAGTTTTGGTGTTTACGGTTCATGAATATTCATGGACCGTAAACCCATGTTTACCTTCCTAAAGTCCCGATTTTTGGTTTCTAGCTTCATGCATGTATGTTTCTAAGTTAAGGATGAGTATTATAAGAGTTTGGAGGGATTTTGGGCTACAAAAACCCCCTTAAGGGTGTTTACGGTTTTGGGAGGTATTCCCAAACCGTAAACTCAAGTTTTTAAGGTTTTTGAGTGATTAAATCTCGAGTTTGTATGAATGCAAAGCTAGACAACAAGTTAGGGAGTATTACCTACGATTTGGAGCTTGAATGAGGTGATTCTTGAACAAACCCACTTGTAGAGAGAGAAAGTAGAGAGAGAAAGTAAAGAGAGAGTGATTAGAGTGGTAAAAAGCTCCATCTAGTGCCCACTCACCCTTTATATAGGGGTTGGGTTTGGGGCTAGGTGGGAATCTACCCGATTAAATGGTCGTAATTAAAAACTTTTTCCAACCAAACGGGAGGGCAATTCATCTATTTTTATTTATTTCATTACGAAAATAATAAAATAAAATAAAATAAAACACTTATTTATTTGTCCACCCCAATATTAACGAAATCTTAATAAAAATAGAATATTCTACTAACGGAAACGGGTTACAATAACGGAAAGATTTTCGGGTTGTCACAATTCAGTTTCACAAGTACATTGCAACTTTGTTGTAACATCTTGTTTCAAGGATTTTCTTATTTCGGGATCGTGGGCAATAAATGGACCAAGTAAAGGCCTTGGGCTTCAAGAGAATATGGTTTAGACCCTATTGAATGTTGATAATATTGATTACGTAATCTAAGACTATGGTTTGTTTTTAGAAGCCAAACGACAAAATGGGAAAAGTTATTTTTTAGGCTTCTTGCATGGATTATGGTTTTTACTTTGACATGTGTTAAATCAAAATTACTAGATAGAAGTGTAGACCTCATCAATGCCTTTCCTTGGATATAAAGATTGTCGAAAACATAGTTGAAATGAAGAAGTTATGATTGTTAGAAATTGAGGTGGATTTGGGTGAAAAGATGACACAGAGTGGGGAACAGAGCCCACGGTGTGGTAGTCTATCAGGCTCAATCCCATGATTTTAGGGTTTTCAACGTATTTAAGCATAACGTTCCACATTTTTTGGCATTTTAGCAGCCTTCATCGCCTCTAGAAGCCCTTGGGAGAAACACTAGTCTCCACCTTCAAGATTTAAGCTTCTCCTCTCTCTTTTTTTTGGGTGCTTTTTATGATATTTTAATGAATTTTATAGATCAAGAAGGCTCTTTTGGTTGTAAGGAATGATGCTTCAGGTTTAGATCCATCAAAGACACCACATTTCTGTACTATTGTAAGTATAAAGTTCCAATCTTGCTATCTAATTCCTTAGATCTTATCATTTAGGGTTTTTGGCACCTTTTGATCCATTTTATGAGTGATATTAGAGTTGAGTGGACTCCAACATCTTTTGATCAATTTGGAATGTTTCTTGGACCCCATGGACTAGGAAATTTATGATCTTTTGCCTTCCTTTTTAGCCATGCAAGTTATCTAGGTCCTTTGGGCCATTATGGTGTATTAAAGTTTAGATCTTGAAACAATGTGACATTATCTATCTAGACATCTTTTTGATTCAGATCTAGAAGTTGGAGACTTTGACTTAATGGATTAAGTTGGGAAAGATGCATTTTTGGGTCCCTTTGAGACTTAAAGTCTAGATCTTGGTGGTTTGGACCTTCCTAATGGATAAAGTTAGAAATTTTATCCATTAAGACCTTATAAAGGATCAGATTTAAGCATTGCATCTCTTAGAATCAAAAGATGATAAATTAAGATCGTTT